TATTTTTATAATTTTAATTAATTGTACAATTGCAAAAGTAGAAACTTACCATTACATTGTCCACATCCATATGCTTTGCCGAGCATGGAAACAGCTGTAGTTATACGAAGACTACTTAAGTCTGGCATTTGAAGTGGTAGTTGTTGTTCCATTTGTGCCATTTTTCTGAAAATATTACAAATAAGTAAAAGATAATGTAAGAATTGTCAACATTGTTAAATTGTATAAAGAAGCTATTGTTTTTGAACATATTGCATTAACATAACTATAAATGTAAAACTGATTTTAAGAAATAACATGCATTTAACAAAGAAATGTTATATGTTATAATAAACATGTGTATGTGTCTCATATTTACAGAGATTTCTTTTTTCACATTACAACTCCAAAGATTATTGCAACAAACCCACGTTGCATTGTAAAACCACAAATTGCTTCTGATTTATCTGAACCAGTAGTTACGTTCAATTTGTGTGAGTATTATAGTATTTTTCTATTTACAAATGTTTAACTAATCATTTATATATTTCTATGTGAATTAATTAAATTAATAGCTTTATTACACTTTAAAAGTAAATGAGTTAAATACTAGCATTAAATTAAATTCAATGATTAAAATTTTAATTGAAATGTTTCAAAAAAGTTTGTTTAATGCAAATGTGATATTATATTCTTGCATTTCTATCTTTTAGTATCAGGTAACAAGATTGTATGCAAAGCTGCACACTTGACATCTCTGAATATATTGGAACTTTACAACAAATACATCACACCTTTGTCCCCACCTGAACCTGACACTGAAAGTAAAAAAGTAATTAAAAAGAAGAAGAAGTCAAAGAAAAACCAGACGGGAGTTAGAATTTCACCAGGAAGCAAACATAGAGGAGTATTTTTATAAGTTTACTGGCAGTTTAATAATTTGCTTATATGCTGATAACTTTTAAGATACTACAGAAAAAATTAAATACGAATACAAATATAAGTTAAAAAATAAAATTTTTAGAGAATACATGTCAAAGTCAATTTTATCATTTATTTAAAACATTGTTCTAATTTTTGCCTTTCACTTTATTTGTGTGATACGATAGAAAATTAAACCTACATTATCAATTAATAAGGGAGGCTTGGTAATATTAAATTATTCTTTAATTGCTTTCAGCATCTAAATAAAATCGGAAAAACAATAGCTGTATAAAAATCTTGCATAACTTTTAGTTCTACTATTACCCATATTTCTTTTGCAATTGCACATGCTAAAGCTTACAAAGAATTGATCCTTTATTTCTCACAATATAACTGAACTATTTTCTTTCTCTTTGAATCTCATACAGAAAAGCATCTGAATTTTATAATATAAGAAAAATATTTGTTTTTAAAATGGCAAGTCATACAGTAAATAGCAAAAATTATAATATGAAACTTATTGATACACTTTATAATCAGGTTCCTGCCTTTACTGATGTATTTGATGAAGAAACTTGGTATATTTTTGTCGCCTGCTTTGTAGCAGGTACATTTTTAGTTGCATTTATTCTCTCAAGATTCATTACATTAAAACCTGTGGAATAAATTAAAAATATTGTTTCAAAAATTGCAACTTATATCCATATTAATGGAGCATTAGTTACATTTAATAAATTTTGTTAACATTATGTTATAATAATAAAACTTTTCTGTATATTTCATATAATTGTAAACTTTGAACAATATAAAATTTGTATCATGACTATAATAAAACATTATCTTATAATGACTTAATATTTATGTAGACAGTATTGTCATAATACTTTTGGTTACTTTGATAATGCCATAACAGTTACAGTTACAATGTTAATAATTTATTAAGTTTACACAATTTTGTGTTTTGAATATGGAATCAATTAAATTGACAACCATACTCCAAGGCTTTTATTAACTCCCTTATAATTGTTGTTTTCATTTCATTATATTTTTATTGTTTTAATAAACACTACAAAATTTGTGTCTTCAATGTAATAAAAGTGAAAAAACACCATACCTAATGATAAAAGATTAATAAAATGTTATTCTAATGATGTTACAAACAATTACCAATCATTTTAATGAAGTGTTATCTTATAATACATTCTATGCTATTGATTTTATTTCATAACTACATATAATCTCTGGATAATTGAAATTAATATATTTAACACTTGAACAACCTTATGTAATGTAGTTTCAATTACACTGAGATCTGCACATTTGTAATATGATTTATGAATATATTAATTCCCATTGCATGTTTATACTGATTCATGCTTTATAATCTTACTGCATGTTAATATTATTCAAACATGTTTTCATGTTGGAAATTTATATTTTAATTTCATAAATTCTTTATTTACAATATAATAAATTAAAAATATGCTAAACATTATATTTACACAAGGTTAATTTAAAAGTTTATACGTGTTCCAAGTGCCTTGTTTCAAGTTTATCAAGTCACCTACTTCTCCTTGTCTCCTGATCCTGTTTCTATCTTTTTCTACCCCCTCCATTTTCAAGCATACGATCTTTTACATGAGCATTTCTTCACCCCCTCTCTCCCCCATAAGCACCACTCTTTGTCTTTTTCTACTACCTTTCTTTCTTCCACTCATCGACCTTGTCGTTTGTTTTTGATTTCTTTGAATTGTCAGTATAGCTATTTTACAAATGTCCTCGAATTATAAATTTAGGAATTCTTACTGAATTTTTTACAGAATTCTCTGTACTGTTATATAGTGAGATTTCAATATGAAGTATTCCAACAATGGCCGTAAGTTATGAAATTTTGTGTTTACTAAGTTTTTCATCGCAATAGATATAAATGATCATTAAATTTTTCAGGTGTTTTGTATTTCATACACATATAAACTCGACGGAATATGTTAATTGTAAGTAATGCACATAAAGCCGCGGAATCATTAATATAATTAAATGAATATAAAAATTACCTATCTTCGACCTTGTACAAGGTGGAAATAAATCATATTTTGGAATATTTATAATAAAATTTTGTGTCAACAAAGCTATGGGCTGTGTAAAGAAAATGGTAGAAAATTAGTAAAACTATTTGTAAGCAATTATATTATATCATATAAAACAGAATTACTATAATTATAATTCACTTTTGTTTACAAACAAGTTGTGGTTTACTCAATTCATGCGTTTTTTGGATAAATTTTTTAAAACAAAAATTTATGAATTGATTTATTAGTTCTGAAATTTTATTTTTTAAAGTAAAAGTTTAAAGTCTAAATACATGTACGATTAAGTACATAATTTAAAAACTCACCTCTTTTGCAGAGCTGATATTCAAGTTATGATGAGCAAAATAGATAATCACACTGTTATTAGATTCACACGTACATTGTCTTTTTTATACATAAACTTCACTGTAGCGTCTGTGCATTAACTACGTAACAGTTGTTTTATATATAGCATTGTAAACATATATCTTCCGTGATGAAAACTTTCATATGTGGTGATAATTAGTTACCAACAGTTACTCCCACTCGTATTCGTACACCGTACGGACATTTAGCATAAATAAAAAAAAAAAAAAAAACACTTTCCTTAGGGATATTTCTTATTTATGTTCAGCAGAATTCATTATTACACTATCTTCCATCTATTTACAAAGCAATTTTATTTTTCATTACTTAGAAATACAGTAAATAGAAAAAGAATGTCACTATCCATAAAAACCATCTCTCAGCCGTATTCATACAGCCAACAAACAAACAATAATATGCATCCTAGAGAGTTTATACTATATCGGGGATTTCCCGTATATTGTGAACGAAACAAAAAACAATCGGCAGGTATTCTTTTGTTTAAACAAAATAGTAATCAATAGCATTCAGTATATTAACAGGCAAAATGGGTAGAAAAGAATCATCGATTGAGTTAAGAAAATTGATTGTAAGTCATCATGAAAGTAGAAAAAGTTTAGAACAAATTAGTGATATTGTTAAAGAAGTCTACTATTCAATATATTATAAAAAGGTATAAAGCTGAAAATAGAGTAGAAAATAAACTTCGAAATCTTAATAGAAAATCACTAACAGATCCTGACGAACGAAAAATTTTAAAAGAAATAAAAGTAAATCCTAAAATTAGTGCCCCGAAAATTGTATCAAAGTTAGAAAATCAAATAGGGAAAATGTTAGTAACGAAACAGTTCGTCGTTGTTGTTGTTGTCTTTAATTTACCGGCATCGACTGCTGTTGGTCATTAGCCGGGGACCTACTGTTTAAGGTGGGTTCCGAACAACCGAGTTCGTCGTGTTACAAGAAAATATGGATATAATGGAAGAATTACCAGGAAGAAGCCATACATTAATGAATCAAATAGACGAAAACGTTTACAATTTGCAAATGAATACGTAAAATGGACGTATGAAACTTGGAAACATGTAATTTTTTGTGATGAGTCTAAATTTAATATCTTTCAATCTGATGGCGTAAACGAAATTGTATGGCGTAAACGAAATACCAGCCTTGAAAAATCAAATCTCCAGCCTACAGTGAAACACGGGGGTGTTTTTCCGCAGCCGGAGTTGGAAATCTGCACATTACTGATGGAATCATGGATAAGTATAAATACATAAATATTTTAAAAGAAAATTTAAAGGTCAATGCGAATAGTTTGGGAATTCCTAATGATTTCATTTTTTACCAAGATAATGATCCCAAGCATAAAGCTCGTATAACTCGAGAGTGGCTACTATACAATTGCCCCAAAGTAATGGAAACCTCCACAAAGCCCAGATATCAATCCAATAGAAAATTTATGGGCAGAATTAAAAACCAGAATACAAAAATATGAAATAAGTAATGTGAACCAACTCAAGGAAAAACCTGGAATGGAAAAATATTAGCGGTGACATTACAAATAAATTAGTTCAATCTATGCCAAATAGATTACTTGAAGTAATAAGACACAAAGATTATCAAACAAAGTATTCATTCATCTAATTTTATTACTTTTACTAGTCGAAATATGTTTTTTCCCTTATGTACGAATGCGGCTGAGAGATGGTTTTTATGGATAGTGACATTCTTTTTCTATTTATTGTATTTCTAAGTAATGAAAAATAAAATTGCTTTGTAAATAGATGGAAGATAGTGTAATAATGAATTCTGCTGAACATAAATAAAAAATATCCCGAAGAAAAGTGTTCTTTTTTTTTATTTATGCGAAATGTCCGTATGGTGTACGAATACGAGTGGGAGTAACTGTATATAATCCGATTCGTTGATGCAATGACGTCGGCCGATAAAGACAATACGTGTGCTCATTTGTACGATTGTGTTAGAAAAGGTGGACCTATGGGGGTATAAACCAAGCAGACTTGCATTCCTTCCGCTGGACATCTTTCCAGCTCTGCACAGTGTACACATGCATACATGCATATATATGTAAAAGATAATAAACCTACAGCGTTTTGATACGTGCATTTCTGATCGTAGTTTAAAAATTATTAACAACGAAGTCACTAAACGACAGATATGGCCGATGAAAAAGCTACGAAACAAGCGGAAGATCAAGAATTAAATGACTTATTAGACAGTGAGTAATTATAATGTTCTTTATTTATGATTGAATAAATATGATTCAACAATCCTAACCTCAAATTCTGCAAATATCCAATGTTTGTTAGCTTTTTCTCATTCGGTGTGTTCCTCATATTGAGTTTATAGATTTCTCCGTGGAAAAATGGGCAAAGAAAAATCAATGTACTTTATATTAATTTTTACTTCAGAAAAATAATGTTTAATACTTTACCTAGTTTTTATTACGAAATCGACGGGATTATTAAATTAAAAGGGAAAGGGGGAGAAAACTGAAAATTCTTGAAATATAAAACGATTATTTCTTCTTCTTCTTCCGTTTCATTTTTTTTACATATAATTGCAAGTTTCAACAATGGTCATTGTATAATCACTATCTCAGGTGCTTTGGAGGATTTCAACAAAGAACAGAAATCAGATAAAAAGGATGCAAGCAAAATAGGTGCTTCTGAATCTACAACGGATAAAAATGTAACTGATATTTTGGAGGATACTTGGTCTACAGACGATGCAGGAAAACTTTTATTCAAGATGATGTTTCTAAATGGTAATAGTTTGTGAAAAATGCAAGGAAGATATTATTTTAAATTTCCCTATTAGAAACAGATGGCGAATTAGGAGTTTCTCCCCAAACAATGGCAAGGAAACTTACAAGTCCAACAAAAGATGAAGATACCTCTGACAAAGACATTGCAAGTATAGACTTTCAGTCAGCTATTGCTGGAGCCATGAACGACTTGTCCATAACAACAGAAAATTTACAGGTACTTGCTTGAACAATTATTGAAGTAATTCTTGTAAATAGAGTCTTTTGTGAAAACATTACAGAACGGGGCTGACTTATCCGAAATTTTTGGGCAAGCAGCCTTAGAAGATTGTCCTGATGTCATTCCACCATTCTTACAAGTACTGCTAGAGCATTTATTATCGAAAGAACTTTTGTATCCAGCAATGAAGCAACTAGCACATGAATACCCTGAGTTGTTAGAAGAAAAGAAAACAACAATACCGTCTAATGATCTACAAAGGTTTACAAAACAGTTTGAATTGATACAACAGGTTATTATGCAATATATATATATATATTTTTTTTTTTTCATATGAAAATTCCATTCTATTGTAGTATCGATGTTGGCAACATTATTTGATACATGTGCAATTTCCATTCAATTTAGATATGTACCGAACTTGAAAAGGAGACAGACGAAGATACGGCAGAAATGAAAAAAAAACGTTTTGAAACAAAAATGTCACTTATGCAAGAAGTACTGTCCTGTGGTCAATTACCCGAAGAACTGATAGGACCAACAACAAGAACCGATGCTGAAGGTGATCCTGTTATTCCAGCGTTATTACGTAACATGGAGCCTCCGCAACACTGTTGTTTAATGTAAATTTATTTTAACGATTGTGTAATCAGTGCGTCAAAATAATACAAAGGGCTAAGAGATATTTAAGAGAAGTTAAAATAACGAATTATAGATATACAATTTGTTGTAAAATTATGTATTATAAATTTACGTAATTTAAATATTACAATTTCTGTTCAAATAGAAACATTTTATTATTTGTTAAATAAATATAAATAAAAATTTGTGCATCAAATATAAAAGTACTTTTGAATGTATGATTTCTTGTTTTGAGCCGATCCTGGATGATGTCATAATCGACAGACCAATGAGATACTCTACAAATTAACTACACAAATGCATGACAACACAGTTTATATATCCTTTACCAATCTTTATAATGTAAAAAGTAATCTTATTGATATAAAGTATTAATATAAAACTGTATTATATATTTAAAAAGAGTATAAGGAATGCTGAATTTATACAACAAAAATTTCCCCTGTGCATAAGTTTTATATGTGTATAGAACATGATACAATGATAATGTTTAATTTTCTATATCGATTATTGGAGTTACCCAATAACGTGTTTGTGCGTCGTGCGTACTGTTTCTCGATTGGTCAATCATATTCCCGTGGTGAAATATTGCGAAAAATGAAAATTTTAATTGCATATAATTTGTAATTTCATATTGATTGACAAAAAAGTATTGTTAAATTAAGGTAAATTAATATTTTACATTAATTTTTTTTAGTTACCTATTTATGCTTGTAAGATGTTTATAACAGTCACAAACTACTCTAAAATACTTTGTTAAAAATTAAAATATGTAAAAAATATTTTGAAGGTTATAAATTGTGCTGATTATACGT